AATAAAATCTAAATTTCATTATCATATTGATGCATGCCTATGTTTTAGTGCCTGTTTGGTTCATCAGTAACCTCAAATATCTCTAATATGCAGGCTGCTTGTATTATCCGTATTTATAACTGTTGCATATATGATGACTTGGTCATTTGTTCCTCGATTCTTGAAACTGATGATTCAGCTATCATCGCAGGTTAGATGAATTAGCTTGTTATTTTTTGTTTCTGTTCCTGTTTTTGCATTCATATGTATAAATTCATGCTCATATTTCTTATGTACTTCACCTTTTATACATGTTAATGCATGAATAGTTCGTTCTCAGTACCATGTAAGTTGAAAAATAACATGGGTGTCCCACTTGCATGTGATCCCAAGCCCCTGACAGTTTCAGTCACTTTGGATTTTTTTTCAATCATTAATCTTTGCAGTGTTGCGGCTGAGCTTTTATGGTGCTTGTTTTTTCCAAGTTGAATTTGAATGGGTGATTATCAATCCAGTCCTGCTTTCCTATGGTCCTATGTGTTGTGGCTGTAACTGGATTGACCGGCAATGCTTTAAGTTGGCTAGTTAATTATTTATGTTCGATCACATCATAATCAATACTTTTCTTTTGAATATGTTGCAGTTTGATTCTGTTGTTTTACGTCACTTGCTAATGTACCTTTTCAAATATGCAGACAAATGAACTCTATCAGTTGGCTTCTGTTGCTTTCTGCTTGCTGCTAGCCTGGGTAAGGTTATTCAACTTTATTGCCTAAAGCTCATTCTGACATCAGAATGACTTTCATCACTCTTATTTTAACAATAAATTGGTAAATATTTAAATATAACCATACAATTTTTATTCAGCAAAATCTTATAATTTAGAAGTTATTGATGGTCAAAGGTGGCAAGTAAATGGGAACAGAGGAAGCTACAGGACAAATGCAGTCAGTATCGAATGATTGCATGTGCGCTAGTGCGGGGATGTTCCCCCAAAATGTTAAGGATGGCTAGTGTTTTGTCATTATCAATAAATAATATTCTAACAATAATCCCAATGTTTGCCGAACAAGTACTTGATTATTATATTCACAAACTATTTAAAGGTGATACATGGATAGTCAAGGAGAGTTTCTGCCCATGCTACTGTACAATGTCTCTAACCTGAGGGATAAATGGTTGCATAGTGACTTTTTTTTACTGTCAAACTAGTTGTATTACTATTAATTTCACTTCGATCAGCAATCTTACACATGCAACATCATTTCTGTAGATAGAGTAATGTTATTTCTTTGTATTTCCAGTGTAGTGATTATCTTGGATTGAGTCTTGAACTAGGCTCATTTCTTGCTGGCGTTATGATCTCAACCACAGATTTTGCTCATCATACTTTGGAGCAGGTAATATGCTACTTACTGTTGACTTGATTCTTTTATGCAGGGATTTGACTTGGGTGTCAATGTTTTTCTTTTCCTGTTCTTTTTATTGATTTAAGAATAAACGGTTTAGACCAATTTGGATGGTCTGCATAACAGTTTGCTAATATTTGAACTTCTGGAAGTTTCTTCCCTAGTGTAATTTTGTTTTTGTAGCTAAATCAGTACATTTTGTTCTGATTGAACTCACTCTCTAACATGTAATTTCTTTGTTTTTATTCAAGGTGGAGCCAATTCGTAACTTATTTGCAGCACTCTTCCTTGCAAGCATCGGCATGCTCATACATGTCAAGTTCTTGTGGAATCATGTTGACATATTGCTTGCAGCTGTTATACTGGTTATAATAGTTAAGAGCGTAGTCGTAACAGTTGTGGTGAAAGCATTTGGATACAGCATCAGAACAGCTTTTGTTGTAAGTATCTCTTTCTTGATGGTTTTTTCATAAGTATTCTGCAATAAGCCAATAATGATATAAATTCTCACTCCTGGTTTTTCTTCTCTCACAAGGTTGGGCTATCATTAGCACAGATAGGAGAGTTTGCATTTGTGCTTCTTAGCCGTGCTTCGCATCTTCATCTTGTTGGGGTGAATAATTCTTTATTTGTTCATCGATTTTTTTTGAGACATACTTCATACTAAAGATTAGCCATTCTGGCTTCAATACATGCATGATGTAAAATTCTTGTTGAAATTTTGTTTTTCAGGGAAAAATGTATCTATTATTACTGGGAACAACTGCACTTAGCTTGGTAAATTCCTTTTACCTGATGATGGAGCTTAGTTGTTTAATACACACTAGAAATCATTTGTTTTGCTTTGCTTTTTCTGGCAGGTTACAACTCCTCTCATTTTCAAACTAATTCCTGTGGTAATGCACCTTGGTATTCTTATGCGCTGGTTCCCCTCGGAAAGCAGTATGCAGAATGAGGTATGCTTTCTTAGCTTCTTTGCTGATGGTTGCGGTTATAACTACTAGATATATTCTTTCATCACCAATTACTAAATGAATCAACATCCTTTTTCTGCAGAAATTAAATAAGCCACCTTGTTCTATCTTTGCTTGGAAGTAGATATTAGAAGTGTTCTTATTATTCATGAAAACCATGATATTGAAATGCTTTGTATATCCATGAGAAGATTTATATTTCAGTAGTAAAGCCAAATGCTCAATGACTGTCATTAGTATCTTTTTAATTCCATATCTGATCATATTTCAGCTACCTTTACAGGATAAAGCAACCATGCTTGAAGCCTACAACAGATCACTCTAACATTACAAAGCCACAGACATTCATTCATTTGACTGACAATGATTTATTCGTGCATTAACTCTTTGCACATGCCGTGGAACATTGGACAGACAATTCCATCATTTCTTTTTGCGGCAATACGTCTACACAAGCGATGACTAAAGACACAGTTTGACAGGCCGGGGATCTGTTGGTATACCATTTAAGTTGAAAAATTGAGTTGTACATACTGTACATGTTGTCAGCGTAGCATATTCTTTAGACTGTAAGGCCCCAAGCCTTGGTTTTGTATCATCCCTGCCAACTCAACCTAGGAGTTAGGTAGGATTTTTGGTGTAATGCTATCAGATATACCGAGAGAACCGATATGTGCTGATTCCCCATCAGAAGACCATGGGAAAGCTCTATGTTAGTATATATTGTCCATTTGTCCTATGTATGAGCTGCCAGGTGACTTGTTCTGTTCTTGTCGTATGGATAAACATTTTGTCACAACATTCTCTTGTCCTAGTATGAGCTACCATTGGAAAGTAGCAGCATTTTATTCTCCCGTGAAGGTTAATTCTCTTCTCCTGCCTTTTTGTGTGGTGAACATTATTTTTCTGGAGAAAACAGCTTGTTAGAATCGTCTTGTAGCGCTGGGCTTTTTTGGTGTATCCGCATGATTGCGATGATAGGTCCCTGGACAAGTATTTTTGCAGAAACTTTCGGTGCGTCTGTCCAGTGGGTAATGGTTGTGCTGGCTCGTAGTCGGAGCAGTAGAAAACTAGAAATCCTAAACAAGTTGGTGCAATTATTAAAGGAGAAGCTCTGACCAAGCTAGCTGGAGCTGAAGAGCTGGAGAAGATCTGGCCCGAGGTGCTGACATTTGACGCTTTGTGGCGAATCTTGTTTCAGTGGTTGCGGGACGCACATGCTCACGTGGTCGGCCTTTGCAGGGGTAGAGTTCAATTTTCACTATTCAAACTTCATCGTAGACATAGAAAGCTTTTGTTCCACACAGTGCAAAAGCTGGAATAGCTCAGTTGGCCAGAGCGTATGGCTGTTAACCATAAGGTCGGAGGTTCGAGCCCTCCTTCTAGCGATTTTTTTTAATCTCATCACAAAAAATGTAACTCAATTGTTTTTTTTACTCTTTCAAAAAATGTAATTCAAATGTATCACAAAACAAATTTCAATATATTTTTTAATGTCATCACAAAAAATGTAACTCAAATGTTTTTTTACTCTTTCAGTATTTTTTTTAATCTCATCTTTGCAATATCTTTTTCACTCTCATAATAAAAAAACTTTTTTACTCTCATTATAAAAACTGTAATTCAAATGTTTTTTACTCTTTCAGTAATTTTTTTAAACTCATCTTTGCAATATTTTTTTCTCTCATCATCAAAAATGTAATTTCCTTTTAATTTTTTAATCTCATCTTTGCAATATCATTTTTACTCTCATCATAAAAAACTTTTTTTACTCTCATCATAAAAACTGTAATTCTAATGTTTTTTACTCTTTCAGTAAATTTTTTAAACTCATATTTGCAATATTTTTCTCTCTTATCATCAAACATGTAATTTCCTTTTCTTTTTTTTTACACTTTCACTTTCAGCAAAAGTGTAATACTCTCAGGAAAAATGCAATTTCCAATATTATTATGTTCTTTAGCAAAAATGTATTTGTTCTTTTGCGAGCCTAAGCTCATCAGCAGACCAGAATAATCGTTTCAGTTGCTTGTATAAGAGCTTGCCAATTCCACTTCCAGTGCTTTCCTCCGAATTACAAGACTGATAAAAAGTTGAAAATTTAGTGGTTCTCTTAGAACACAAAAAGAAAATAGCTTCACAAGTTTAGCTACATGGCAGTACAAACAACACCGAAACCGCTAGGATTTTACACTTGGAACAAGCCACGCCTTGCTGAACTTGCTCAATTATTATGGGATCTCACATGCACACAGTACAGTTCGTCCATGTGCCGCAACCATGGTGCCTTGCAGCTAAGAACACACAATTAAAAACTTCTTGATGAGTTCCTGAAACAGCAAAGCAAGAGGAGGGACAAAGTACAGTTAATTAAAACGGGAGCAGTTGTGGTGTCTGCATCACATGCCGCTTGCACGTTATAAAAAATTCCTGAGTGCCAATCAGGTGAAGCATCCGTGGGATTCCTCAACGGTAAATGTAGATGCAATGGGTCACATTCTCGTAAGGATAGGAGTTATATTTTCAATATGCTGCAGTGATATGATTTTTTTAGTGTTCTAAATCGTAATGCAAAAAAAAACTTTAAGTTGTCAAGAAGAATAGAGATACCATGCTTGCAAATTGAGAATTGCGATGTTCATTCTGATTTCTGAACGAAAAATGTTTGGTATGAATATTTGCAGATGCAAAAAACAAAATTCAATGAAAATTTTGGAGGCGTTACCGTTGATGAGAGGGAGAGGTTCTTCTTCTTGACATCAACTGGCATCCCTTGCCCGCAGCACAATTTGCGGCTAAGCATCATAAGCTCCTCCAGTGTAAATGTGCTCTTGGGAGGACTCCACGGATTCTTCAGCTGATCATCGTCATTAGCAACCTCCCAGCTTTTCTCTGATGGTGCCCGTGGAAACTGAAAATCTAGCGCTGAAGTGTCTCCACTTGAGTTGCTGTAAGCTTCTGTTTCTGAAAATGAATACCATGTGCCATGGCGACTGGAACCACCTGCGCATTCTGCAGTTCCAGATGCTTCCTTGCTGTCTGGAAATCCAAATGCTTCCAGATCAAACCCTAGAGAATATTCTTCCTCACTTTCAGCCAAGAAAGGGTTTAGCGAGGAAGGAGATACAGAAAAATCAGCATGATCAAACAGCGGATGAAAAGGAGATGCATCTTGGAGAGGCTTCCCGGGCTTTTCTTCCCACTGGAAGGGCACGCTGACGACAAGTTTCGCCGGAGATGGGCATGAGATGGCTGATGGCACTGGATTGGAAATGGCCCAGTCCTTTTTTGGCGCTCCAGGCTTCACCTCCCAGAGAAATGGGACTGAAATCTGCTGCTTGACGCGCTCCCTTGGATTGAATTCAGACAGTTCAAGCTCATCCATTTTGGATGTGTGGTTTTACTGGTTTCGGAATGGAATTTGAGCTGTTGTAGATCTTTCAGGCACTGCTGATATAAGTAGGAGAGAACAGGTGGTTTAGATGAGCTGCTCCTGTACCACAATGCTCTTGTTCAACTGATCCTTCGCTACCCTGCAAACTTGACACACAATTAGACAGTACCAACTACCAACTCCTCTTTAGCTCAGACATGCAGAAAGAGGTACTCAATTCAGAGTGGTTGATCTTACATTTGCATTTTCCACAGTACTAGAAAGAAAAGAGGGTGTAGGGAGCACCCGAAAAAAACAGAGATAAATCCTCACAGGGTTTGGTAATTTGACCAAAATAACCACTTATTCAGATGCAAATCTACATTTTACAAATGTGACTGGGGACACAATAAAGAATAAAAACAATGTGATCATCTGTTCAAAAACCAGAAAACGTTTTTTCCTGTTTTAACATCCTATTCTGCTACTGTACCGTGACGTCAGGAGATCATGAATTAGTTCTAACAGACTCCAGGTACTGTACCACCTCTGCCATGTTTGGTCGGGCAGATGGTGTGTTCGAAGTGCATACCAGACCTAATTTGAGCACTTGGACTAATTCAGCCTCAACAAATCCCTTCATGCTCCGATCAAAGCAGTCTGACACAGTCCCATCCTCCAATATCGCCCTAACATAATCACGCAGAACCACTGCTGTCGCCACCCCAGGGCTCTCCACTGGTTTCCTCCCTGTCACAATCTCAAGCAACACCACACCAAAGCTAAATACATCACTCTTATCACTATATCTCAAGCTTGGAGATGCTAACTCCGGGGCAATGTACCCAATGGCAGCATGCAATCTACTCAATTCATAGCTACCTAGAATAGGCAAAAGCTTTCCAAATCCATAATCAGATAATTTAGCCTCAAAGTCTTTATCTAACATTATGTTGGAGGACTTGATGTTGAGATGCAGGACTTGTGGTCGGCAGTCATGGTGAAGGTATGCAAGTGCCCGTGCTGTACCGAGTGCAACCTTGAACCTCTGCTCCCAGGAGAGACCAACTCTGCTGCTGCTTCCGGAAAATGTATGAGGACTCCCGTGAAGGTGGTCGTACAAGCTCCCGTTAACCATGAACTCTGACAGAATCAATTGCGTTGATGATGACCAGTAGTAACCCTGAAAAGCAACCAGATTGGGGTGGCTAAGGTTACCAAGCTGGCCCATCTCCTGCTCAAACTCATCCTGACTTCTCACCCTTCCCAGTGTTTCCAACTTCTTCACAGCAATGGATAAACCATTCTCAAAGGTGGCCTTGTAAACTGTACCAACTGACCCACCACCAACAAGGCAGTCTTTGTCAAGCAGTGCCTTAGTTCCTGCCTCCCAATCTTCATACCTTGAAGGCAAGCTCTTGCTGAAAAGCACCAACTTTCCAATAATGGCATTTGAGCCTTGTCTGCCAGGAGATGCAAGCATCGGTGTGCTCTCGGACTCCAGCACCTCATCCTCCTCCTTCCCCTCTTGCTCCTCTTTACTCCTCCTCATGTAAGCCTTTATGTTCATAGCACAAACAATGCAAACTCCAATAAGTATAAGCGCTGCTGCGACTATGACAATTATGACAGACACAGCCAATTGTTTCGCCCTCCGGCTAGCCCCACACAGATTGTTCAGTGGAGGTCCACATAGTAATGGGTTACCCATGAAGGCGGAGCTACCGAAACTCTGTAGAACTGGCAAGGCAGGGATCATGCCCGAGAGTCCATTGTAGGACACATTGAAATGGGTCAGGTTAGACAGGTTCCCAAGCTCTGAGGGGATTGGTCCAGTCAGTTGGTTCTCTGAGAGGTCTAGAAGATCAAGGTTTGTGAGCTGTGCAAGTGTCACTGGAATCCCCCCTACAAGATGGTTCCGATGAAGATCGAGCAACTTGAGGTAAGTCAAGTTGTTAAGCGTGTCCGGGATCACTCCTTGCAATTGGTTGCCAGACAAATTCCTGCAGTAGTTCAAATTAGTCTGTCAGTACATGAAACCACTGTAATTCAAACGAATTGGACTGGGTTGCGTAGTTAACAGACACTCACAGCTCAAGCAAGAACTGGCATTGGCTCAGGGACACCGGGATGTCTCCGATGAGAGCAAGACCAGCAAGATCTAGTGTGACAAGCATCTCAATTCCTCCGAGCTCGGCAGGGATTGAACCGGCAATGCCTGCATTTCCTGCGAGCCTGAGCACTGAAAGCGACCTCAATTTCCCAATGCTTGGTGGTATGTCTCCAGCAAGAGCATTCGTCCCCAAATCCAGAACCCTCAGGCTGCGGCAATTGGCCACACTCTCCGGCACCGGCCCAGTGAGCCGGTTCCCTGAGGCGTCGAAGTAGGAGAACTTGGTGCCGCACGTTGCAATGTTGGGGATTTCACCATCGAAGGCGTTGGACGAGACGTTGAAGTAGGTGATGTTTACCAGGCCAAGAAGGCCGAAAGGTGCCGGTCCGGCGAAATGGTTGCTCCCGACGTCGAGCAGGTCAATGCTCCGGCAAGCGTTGAGCTTTCCGGCAATGGCGCCGGAGAGCGAGTTGCTTCGGACGGAGATGTAGCTAATTTCCGGCGGCGCGCAGAGCTGATCCGGGAGCTCGCCGGAGAGGCGGTTGTAGGAGAAGTCAAACCCGGCGAGGCGCGAGCAGTTGGTAATGGCGGTCGGGACTGGCCCCGTGAGGGCGTTGTGCGCGAGGGAGACGTACCGGAGGCGGAGGCATGGGTCGAACAGCGAGGCGGGGATCTCGCCGGAGAACGCATTGTAGGAGAGGTCGAGCAGGCGGAGCCACGGGAACGCGCCGAGGAACGGCGGGATCTCGCCGGAGAGCGCGTTGCGGCTGAGGTTGAGCTTGTGGAGCGTGGGGCCGAGCGCGCTGAAGCTGGAGGGGATGCCGCCGGAGAGGCCGTTGCCGAAGAGCGAGACGGACTCGAGCGACGCCAGCCGCGCCAGCGACGGGGTGAGCTTCCCGGCGATGCCCGCGCCGTGGACGCGCAGGCGCTGCACGGCGCGGGACGACGGGTCGCACGTCACCCCGGCGAAGTCCACGCAGGGGTCCCCTCCCGCCGTCCACGACGCGAGCGCGCCGTTCGGGTCGGTCACGGCGGCCTTGAACTCCAGCAGTATCCCCCTCTCCGCCGCCGTCGCCGCGTCCACCACCCCCACCCAATGCAGCACCACACCCACCACCAGAACGGCCGCCGCCGCCGCCAGCGAGCGCGTCTGCCTCATCGCGACAGCTGGAGGAGCAGGCGCAGTGCGAGTGCGAGCGCATGCATTACCCCCGCCGCGGTGGCGACGGCACCGGCGCTCTACTTCTACTGCTGTGACTACTGACTACTACTCCCCTCGTACTGAGAGAGAGAGACAAGGCGCGCCGAGTAAAAGAGTGGCGAGTAGGTGGCGGTGGGTGGCGTGCGTTAATGTGCGGGTGGTGCTGCCGCGCGGCCATGAGCCCTTTCTTCCTTGACGTCGGTTGGCCAGAAACCACGTTCTTCTGGGTGTTTGGTGCGTGGCGCGCGCGGCGTTTACCTTCACCTTACCCGTGGAAATCTAGGCGAGACGCGCGGTCAAACCGAAACGCGAACGCGAACGCGATCGGGAGCAGCAGCGCGCGCGCGCGCGACGTGGTTTGGTGCCACACTGCCAATCTGCCGGCATGTTGAGGTGGGCAGGAAGTGCGCGGCGCAGGCGCAGCGAAGGGTGGGGTACGGCATGGGACGCGCGGTTGGGGAGGAATTTTTTCTCTTCAATTCGCTGGCTGCGCAGCCGCAGCCGCTGTTCACGTCAACCGCTCACGCATCGTGCCGCTGTTCACGTCAACCGACGGCCGCGGACGTGGTGTCGTTGCCCGTTTCGCGTTGCGTCCGTATAGGTCGTAGTACTGTGGCCTACAGGGAAACCATGGGTACACCACGGATGCATAAATGAGCTTATTCACTGCTCGTCCGTCGTGCCGGTACGGTGCTACTACTATGGTGCTACCACCGTGCTGCGGCTGTACGCACAGATCTACAGTAATAGCAAAGCTACTAGTACTGCTACTACTAGTATTCATTCAAGCGTGAGTGGCAAACAGATCAGCATATTGCTGCGTGGGCTTCTTGTATCATCCGCCGGCGCAACTGCGCGAGCGGACGATTTAACTACTAGCTAGATGTGCCATCTGCCATGCCATGCCATTGATGGGACCAACATAAGATGCAGTAGGCATGGTCGCATGGAGAAAGTTTGTTGGGGTTTGGAGTTCAGCGTGCCTTTCTGTCGGCAATGATTCGTCGGAACGTATCATCATGGACCGACGTGCTTGCTAATTACCCCGATGATGCGTTCCAGTGCCATGGCTTTCGACTCTCAAAGCCTGAACTGCAAGGTCTCTGTCAAGATTTGGTTACCAACCTCCACAAAAGCATTGCCATGGATGAAAACGATGCCATCACCGGGTCCTTAATTACCTCAAATAGTACCAGATCCTTGAAAAATTGAAATGAACAGAAACGGCACGATCAAACTTGGCGGAAATGAAGGAAAGAAACGTGCTACCTCATCTACTCTACTCTACATGTCTGTTTCAGAATAGAAAGGTCTAATCTGTTATAGTGCTTTGCTACGATACCCAAGTACTCCCTCCGCCCCTAAGTTCAAATTTACACTAGGGGTACCAAGTCCTAACATCTAAATCGATCCCGGCAACCAAATCGAGCCATCAAATTGTTCATGAATTCGATGGGCATGAAGTAATGATCTAGCAATGTGGCATTTGAGGTCTGAAGTACTCCAAGTTGAACTTAATTATTCTTCTGTTACCCAATGTGTACAAACATATCACGTACAAGACCACAAGACAAACATTATAGCTTACACTCTCATCGTCTACTTGTTAGCTTATCAGTCATAAGACTCACAACAATAAAAAGTTTAATTTCAAAAGAAGTTAAACCATCTTTTTAAGGAGTAAAGAGGGGTTGTGGC